ACAAGAACAAACTGGGAGGAGGGTAGAGAGAATAGTGCAACAATGAATGAATGGAAACCCAAAATCTCTGTAAATGTTTATGAAAATTAATAAAATATAGAAAAAAAAACACAAAAAAAACCAAAAAAAAAAACCCCACATACCTGGCAGTCAATGAGGCGCCCCCACAGCCTTTGAAATTCCTTTTGGCCAAGTCGTCCATTCACTTCCAGCTGCATGGGGTGTTAAGGGTTAACCAGTCCAGCATGCAGCCAGCTGTGGGTCCTGCCAGCTGAGCACAAGGAGAAGTTCCATCCATCATCTAGCAACGTGGCCGGCCTACTGCCACCTACATGTGGCTCCAAGCCAGCTGACCCGGCTTATGATTTATTCCACAACAGAAAAATGGACAATTGAAAGGAGAAGGTGGATCTGAGGAAAGGGGAAACATCCCTTGTACCTGGGAGCGGTACATTTAAACATGGGCAGTGTGAGTGGGGCCCCTGGCAGGGCCTTGGGGGCTTTTTCCAGCTCCTGAAGCTCAGAGAGGTGTTTGGTGAGAGAGCACCTGGTGTGCACACTTGGGTGGATCTTTCCTCCAAAGCTACTCCCTGCCAGGCCACTCCAGGCAATGGGATCAATGACAGCAATGAAAGGTAGACAACTTGCGCCTAAGCAATCAGAGAGCTTAGTGATCTAGAGGGTAAGGGGATGTGCTGCCAACCCAAAGACATGCAGTTCAACACTGCTAGCTGACCCACAGGATAAAGTTAGGCAATCTCCTCCTGTGCCTTTTACTGAACCCCACTGGAGGTCAGCTCTGAGGGTGGTTCCAACTCCACAGCACAAAACAATAACCAAGGAATTGGAAAGGGTGCTGGCGGGTAAGTGTTGCTATTGTTGTGAACTGTTGATTCAGAACGGACCCTCAGCTGACTCTCTGGTGGGTTTTCAGAGGCAATTAACTACACGAGTGAAGATGGCCAATCCTTCTCCTGCGAGCAATTGGTAGATTTGAACTGCATGCCTTTGGGATTGCAGCTCAGCTTCTTGGCACCAGGCCACTAGAGCTCTCTGGTACATGAGTGGAAGGATGGAACAGACTTTGTCTGCTTTGCAAGGGCTTGTGAACATGACTGCCCCTGGGGCTGCCTCTCTCAGGCTGGAGGACTGCCTGGGGGCCTTTGTGATTCATCCACTGGGATGGGCAGTGTCTTGGAGTGATTCAAACCACAGCCCGCAGAGACAGGCTGATTGATGATTTCATCAAGAGGCTCTCTTGTTCTACAAGGGGCAGCATCGCTTTCCCAATCGAGTCTTGTTAGCGGCAAAGCTGCCGGGTGATCTGTCTCGCTCTCAGCTGAGATGGCAGAGCAGCAGCCACCTTAGAGCTGCAAGCTGGCCTCTGGGCCTGCAGCAGAGGCAGGAGGAGCACTAGAGAGGGCGCGAGCGCAGCACAGAGCTGGAGCCCTGCCCTTGACTCTGAGCACTTTTACTCGTAACCATGTACTTGGCAGAGTCACCAAACTGACTAGCTCTAGTCTTCTTACGATCAAAACTCATTGCCGTGGTGTTTAAACCAACTGATAGTTGACCCTCCAGTGGGTTTTCTGAGTCTGTAAATTACACAGGAAGAGACTGCCCATCTTTCTCCCGCTGAAGTCCTTCCTGGTGGATTTTAGCTGAAGGCGAGCCGTGGTGTCTGGGTTTCCCCGTACTGCTCCCTACAGACTGTGGCGCTAAAGTGCCCCCTCATTTTCAAACTCAGAATAATAATAATAATAACAACAACAACAACAATTGGGTAAATCTATTGTGTGGGTTGAAGAGTTGTCTACACATTGGAATGGTCCAAGAAATTATGGACTTGCTGAGTAACAAATTTAAATAGTGAAGACCCCTTAAGGGATGAGACGAGAGAGAAAACAAACAAAAAATAATTCCCACTGGAAGCATATAATAATCTCAGATCACAGATTTTTGGACCCTGAAAACCCCTGATTTCAAATCTGGGCATGGATCTTGAGAAGCTGTATGATTTGGGCAACTTGCTTAACCTCTCTGAATCTGTTTCTTCCATAGTATAACAAAACAATATGTAGGATGGTGAAGAAAAAACACTAATGCCAGCACACAGGTGCTTGCATGGTGGAAACTACTGACATTCAAGGCACTCTGGTTGTTCTAAAGAGTTGGCGAGCAGAAAATCTGCAGAAACCCAAGCTCTTGGGTGAGCTCTTAGAATCAAGGAAGAACAAGACATCTGGAGAGTGACCGTTCTCTGATGTCCTAATGAGACCCCTGGAACATTGAGGAGCATTTGGGTGAAGGGTTTTAGACATAATTGCAAAGGATACATCCATCAGAGCCACGAGGCTCCGGCACTCATCCAAGGAGAATGTGTTCTCTGAAGCTCCTGAAAGGAGAGAATGAGACTGATTCTCATTCAGTGGGTCTAACGTGGGGGTGGCCCAGCAGTGAGGATGACCATACCTTTCAGGAGTTCCTGGTTGAGCAGATTCTGAAGCTGAGCGGCATCAATGTCCAGCCCCTGTTCCAAACAAGAGAGGCATGCAGGGCCAGGTTAGTACTCAGGATTCCTTGAGCATGCTTGCTGTACTTAAAAGAACTCAGGGTTTGAAGCAATTCTCATAATGTGTCCTTCTCTCAGGACATTGCCTCTTCACAAAGCCAATGCTCCAGGCAGCAGGGATAACTCCCTCCCCTTCAAACAGGGATACCTATTATTCCCGAGGCACGGCGCATAGAAAGGGCTGGCATGGTGCCTGTGGGCTTGAGAGTGATGGAGATGTGAGGATGGCACAAAATAGGGCGTGATTCCTATCTGTTGTTGTTCATAGGGTCACTACGAATAGTAGTTGACTCAATAGTTACTCAACAACAACTAACACCATGGGTTGCTTTTCATCTAGGCCTTCTTACTCACTATTGAAACAAGAGTGGTGCCCTACCTTATGGGCTCTGGAGAATTCCTACCGGAAAGAATTATTGAGTGACTCAATCAGTGTTTAAGATATCATTTTCCTTCTGCTTCCAGAAAGAGGCTAGAGAAGGTATGACTTTTCCATTCTCTCTCTCTGGCCAGGGGAGATAAATATAGGAGAAATCTTGGCTAGGAGGAGTTGTTGAATATGGAGTGCATTACTAGGTGACCGTCTTCCCAGCCACCGAAACAAAGAGGGAAGTTTATTCCTGTTTCCTTAGATTAATAACAGGAAGCAATTGAGGTTGGGGGAGGCGGCTCATGATGGGGAGAGAAACTTCCTCACCTGAGCTTCTAGAGGTTTGTATTGCATTATATTTTCTAGTGGGGACACTGAATGACTATGAGCAGCGTCTCCTGTGACAGTTTCACAGAGAAACATAACTGTTCTACATGAGGCCACCTGGTAAAAGGTGAGGGGACTACGGGGCATTGTTACCCCCTGGGGAACTTTAACGTGGGAGCTGGAGGGAGGTCTCTCAGCAGATGGCTTTGCAGTGTGGCACCATGGCAAACAGAAGAAATTGCTCCTTGGGGTTTTCTGAGAACACCTGCTCTCAGTAGATAATAGAGACCCCATCCTTAACTATAGACTTCACCATCTAGAGCTATATGGAAAAGTAGCAAAAACCAACAACAATAACAAACAAAACCATCAACAAACAAACAAACAAATGCCTGTCCTCGTGGAAGCCCTCCAGCTAAAAGGATAACCCCTTATAATGCCCACTGAGGGGAAAAGTCTGCCAAAATTGGTCTTCAGATCATCCCTCAGTAGTTGATGTGCAAAGATTGTCTTGTGTAATGCCACCAATTGTGTTCTTCCCTCTGAAGAACCTCCCTTGGAACAAAAGTTACATGAGGATGAGGCTTAAATGGAATCAACTCCCTGATTTGGGGCATGGATCATGTTGACGTCCTTCTGCATGCCCCCACCCTGGAGTGTGGAATCTTCTAGGTGCTCAATAAACGTTCATCAATTAGACACGTGGATGGGAGGATGGGTGGACAGATCTGACCCACTGCAGAGTCAAAGCTCATAAGCAGACCTTGGGTTATGTTACCATCACCACTATGACTGAGGATGGAGGGAACTCATGATAGTAGTAGTAGGAGCAGCAGAACATCCTGGTACTAGTCTAAGGCGAATGAAACCAATGTAGGACGCCAGAAAAGAACATCCATCATGTAAATCAGTGACTATTTTGCTTTAAAATCCCTTTTGAGGACATAGACTTTGAAGAGGGTTTGCAAGTTGTACAGAATGATGCCAACTTGGCCCTGTGCAAGGATGCCTAGCCAAGGGGTGAAAATGGGCTGCAATCCAGTCTGTGTTCCACTTACCAGCCGTGCACCTTGGCACAGGCTGCATCTGTGCCTTATTCTAATTCCTGCAAAGGCCCCATATGGGCTACCAGTCACCTTCTGTGAGGACACACTCCACTGTTGCTGGAAAAGCTCCAATTAGGGAATCTGCACCATTTAATCATGAAGCAAATTAGGTTTTTTATTTTTATTTTAAGTGCAGGTACTTGGGCTGGGTTTGAGAATTTTGCCACCTGTCCTTGAAGAAATCTTGGTCGCAGGCCTCTTAATCAAGCCTGGCATATCACCGAGGGGCAGCTCATCTTAGTACAGGCATCTGTTCGGGGTTGGGGAGAGTTAATCGGTCTCAATTCAATTCAACAAAATTGATTGAGCACCTCCTCTGTGCCAAGGACAGGGATAAGTGTTGGGGACAAGGAAGGAATGTGATGTCATCCCTGACTTCAGGAGCTCACAGATAGGGGCCAGTCATTCTGGAAGGCCTTGTCATGCATCCAGTAGGGTGGTGCTTGAATCAGCCCACAGGGAGCGCCCAAATCCTGAGCTGATGGTAATTTCAAAGAGGATCACACTCAGCTGTTGCTTTGCAACTTTCATTGTAGCCCTGCTCTTTGATTCTTACTGTTGGCTCCCTGGGCCCAGCTCCCATCCTGCCCCTTTGGGCTGCCTCCTGGTTACCACTGACCCCTCAGCCCTCTGAACAGAGAGGTAGAGCCTGGCAGCCTCTCTGTCCTTGGCCTGTGCTTGGCCTCAGCCTGACACAGCGCAAGAGGGCATTAGGTCACTTTCTGATTCCCACCTGACCTGACTATTAACAGTAAAAGGACCATATGCAGGGCCTTTGGCAGCTTCCTTTGTGCCGACAAGTTGAGGAAGTCTTCCTGATGGTTTATTAAACCATTAAGAAAACCTCCTGTGCACATAGGTGTCTTGGCAGGAAGAGTGCAGCTGGCACTTTCTGAAGCTGCCCAGCTCCTGAGAGGAACACTGCCAAGCCTGGTGAGGAGGTGGCCGAGCTGGAGAAGAAGAAATTGCCACGGCTGCAGCCGGTGGATTATTTAAAGATTTTAAAAGCATGTGCACATTCCTCCTCCTCCTCCTCCTCACCTCTCCCTTTCCAAGCCCCATGTTCTGTTCTAGATGCCGTTCACTTGGGGTTCCCCTTCTCTGAAGTTTGGCAGTCAAACTGCTCTGGAGATGACCCAGGGAGAGAGGCTGAGCAAATGATTCATCGAGTTACTTTTCTTCTCTAGATCCTGAGTGGTGTGAGTGGTTTCTCTTTCTGGTGACTCAAATGCCAGCTAAAAGGTTGGTGGTTCACACACAGTGGCACAGTGGCAGAAAGGCCTGGCAACCTGCTTCTGTACAGAGCATAGTGCAGCAAACCCCGCAGGGCAGGCAGCACAGGGGACCATCGACGTGATAGCAGCAAGGTTTTTAAATTTTATTTTAAAATGATCTTGGTCAAGCCCTAGAGGAGAATTTCCCTCCCTCTCCAACACCTGCCCCTCTACATTATAGATTGTACCTGCTGAGTGTATTGCTGGAAAATGCTTTGTTCGAAGCCACTTTCTGGAAGACTGGCCTGGATGAAAGGGAAATTAGCCAACATTAAAAAATCAGGAGTAGGTACCATTTGTGTGGTAAAGCAAAGGCATAAAAGCCCATGCCTGGTTCGAGATAGAGGTTTCATCTAGCTGGGAGGAAGATGCCTGGGCCCAGTCTGGCCTCAGAGGCCTGGTCTTCTCCTTCACCTAGCTGCCCTCCACAGTGTGCTGTCTCTGTTTTCAATGCTCAGAGGTGAGTAGAGTGGGGAGATGAAGAGTTTGGAGATGATGTTTAGTAACCAAAACTTAATATACATGTACCTTCAGGCCTGTGACGTTGAAACTGCTCTTCATGGTCCTGAAAAAAATTGAGGAAAGTGTGATAAGGTTGATTAGCCTCATTTAAAGGAATGAATGGAGGATACCCAAGGTAGCATTGGCGATGTATCCCAAAGACCTGCCCAGAGAGCCCTCACATAACAAGATGTGGGCTGGGAACCACGACAGCCAGCAGACAGACACACCAGGAAAGGCGCCTGGCCTTAATGTTCTAAGTAATGGTTAGTAAGGAGACATCCTGGCACATGATACTGTGAAGTTCTCACCTGTACTTGACTGAAGAGGCTGCCATGATTACAGCAATAGTTTTCTTTGGGTGCAAGAGAAGAAGAGGATTCCAGCAATGTGTGCATTTATTAATCGAAGTCTTGACCAACTCAAGACCCTTTATGACTGTCTTATTTTTCAGGTTCATTTTTTATTGCCCATGACATATGTATCCTGTCTTCTGGTCACATTTCACAGAATTTGCCATGTATATCATATAACACCTTCCCGTGTGCATGGATGACATAACATATTCCTCAAGTAAACCTGTGTTCACCCATTTCCCTGCTTCTGCACACACTTTTTGCAGCACATTGTAGTAGATGTAGTCAATAGAGAGGTATTTTGACTGTAAAAGCTATAACACATGCTAGTCAAAGAAAGTCTGACTTCTTGTTACCTCATTTCTATAAATCTCCACCTGTTTTCACTTCAAGATTCAGCTCAAATATAATTTTCTCAGTCTTGCACCAGAGCTGTGTCCTTCCGCTCTGCATGACAAGGACGCAGAACATGTCCATCTAACAGTGGCATCATCCTAGTTGAGATGTGTTATTGCTTCATGGATGTTCTTGCTCCCTTTGTGATAAACTCCTACAAAGCAGGACCCTTCCCGTGTCCCACACTGAGGTAAACACAGTGCACAGTAGCAATTATCCCAATGTACTCTAAAAATACCCAAACATGCAGCACTATGCAGCACTCAGGAAAAATGATACAGAAAAAATACTACTTGGAGAGAGACTGGAGAGCATTGTACTGAGTGAACTAACTCAGTCTCATAAGGACAAATACTGCATACAACCATTATTATAAAAACAGATAACTAGTAAAATATGTGTGGGAACCCAAGTGGGGGGGGTGAGGGATGGGTGCAGAGCGGGGAGGAGGGTAGGGGCGAAACCATAGGGTTGCAGAATTTGGTGGGTGGAGGGGTGAGGGAGGGAAATGCGAAGGATCTGCATGAAAAGACAGAATAATAATGGACAAAGCCCAGCAGTGATTAATTTTATGAAAAAAACACACGGGAATGAACAATAGTGTGAAACACAATGTACATGAACGTTGTAAGCAAACC